TATATTATTCTCTACTTACCATTACGAGCCGTCTCCAGCCATTATTAGTCTCAAAGTGGGTTCCTCGTCATCGAACGAGAAATGAACTTCATCAAACTCGAGGTACATTGACAGAAACAAGCTTTAGTAAGTTCCATAATGCAATGAAAGATTGGATATTAATGAGCTTTTTGGTACATTGTGAAATGGACATTGATGAATTTCACAGTACATTGACTGAACTGGGTTTATTTAACTGCTTGTTACACTGACAGAATGGAATTTATTGAACTCTATTTTTCATTGACAAAAGACGGTTTTATTATACTCAGTTACACATTGACAGAACGGATTTTAGTGAACTCCTTGGTACGTGAAAGGATGCAATACATTTAATTTTATAATCCATTGATAAAAACGGGCGTTATTGATCTTAATCTTAGTTGAATAGAAGCATACCTTATTCAACTCTATAATACAGTGGTAGTTATAATTGAATTTAGCTTTTGTACAATGACTGTGATGGCTTTAACTTCATGATACACTGATAGAAGCATACTTTATTGAACTCCATAATACAGTGGTAGTTATAATTGAATTTAACTTTTGTACATTGACTGTGATGGCTTTAACTTCATGATACACTGATAGAAACGGGAGTTATGGAACTCCATAAAACATACATTGACAAAACGGACTTTACTAACTCCATGGTATATATATATATTAACAGAACGGACTTTACTGAACTCCATTGTATATACATTGACAGAGCGCACTATTGTTATGCTAACACGAATGCACTTTATTTATCTCAGCGGCTTAATGGTAAAAAAAGGACTTTGTTAAATTCCAGAGTTTAGTAATAGAACAGGTTTTACTGAAATCCACGGCACTAGCCCTGATGAAGTCGCAATGGCAAAACATTAACAGAAGTAAAAAGTATTTTATTGTTATCTGACGAAAAGCCATACTTGTGATAGTTGTCTAATCTACATAGTTAATATTTTAGGTTAATGATCAGGTATATAGAAATAAACGCAAAAATTAACCAAAATTCATCATACGCTCTAGTGTGATCGAAACCTTTAACCCTACTTGACAGCTGAATCTCTATACTGC